TGGTTAAAGGTGTCCCTGCTCCCTGCAGGGGGGTTGGACTAGATGACCTCTAGGGGTCCCTTCCAACCCAAAACATTCTATGATTCTATGAAAACCAGGCCATACAAAAAACTGTGGGCAGGCTGGAGGGGTCCAGAGCAGGGCCACCAAGGTGACCCAAGGGCTGGGAAGCCTCTCTCAGCCAGATGGGGATGGGCTGGGAGAGCTGGGTTTGTTCAGCCTTGAACAAAGGAGGCTCCGAGGGGATCTCATCCCCCTGTCCCAGTACCTAAGGGGTGGCTACAAGGAAGATGGAGACTCCATTGTCACAAGGAGTCCCATGGAGAGGACAAGGGGGCATGGACACAAGTTGCTCTGGGGGAGATTCTGACTGGATATGATTGCGATTGGACAGGAGAGGGAAATTTTTCCCCATGAGAACAGTCATCCATTGGAATAATATCCCCAGGGGAGGGGTTGACTCCACCACATTGGACACTTTCAAGCCTCAGCTGGACAGGGTGCTGGGCCATCTTGTCTGGACTGGGCTCTTGCCTCGAAAGGTTGGACCAGATGATCCTTGAGGTCTCTTCCAACCTGGGATTCTGTGATTCTATGCTTCTATGGTTCTAAGTGTGATGCAGGTGGTATCAGGATGCACATCCTAAAACCTCTCGGCTCTCTCCAGGCAGCTGGAGCAGAACCCTACCCCACCCATAACCACCTGCATCTCAGATCATCCTGCTCCATGGCCTGAATCCTAATGAACATGGTCAATGCTCCAGCAAGGCTTCAGAGGCTCATTTTCTCCCATTGCTGTCAAGGGGGGAAGAGATGATGATGGCTTAGGCTAAAGAGGGAGGTGATCCGGATCTTCTTCCTGCGTCCAGCACAGTGGTCCACCTCAGATAATCCCTTCTCTAGACTGATCAGATTTTAATCTCCTTTCCAGTGTTTTCAGTGTTGTGTCTTAAGAAGAGCTAATGTTTAACTCCCCTGTTCTTCCTCCCCCCCCCCCCCCCC